AAAGCAAGCCACCAGGTCCAGGACTCAAACCGTGGTCAGCCATGTGGAAGTCCAGCACCCTCAACCACCATGCCACCTGCTGGTCTCTGGCAAGTAAGTTTTAACATATGAATTAATGTGCCACTCAGAAGAGGAGGCCATAGCACACACTGACCTATATGCCATCGCTATTTAACAAACTATAGTTAGGTTGTGCTGATAACATGTTATTTGTATGTGGAAGTTCAACAGACATCAGTTGTGTTTAGAAAGAAAGAGTCATTATGTTCAGTTAAAAAAGTATATGACATTGCTTAGCCTTAATGGTTCTAATATTCACAGATGTGCCTAGTGATTTTAGAATGGCAAGAGCCAGGAGGTTCTGGTTCTGCCAACGACTAGCAAAAAACCCTATAATTTTCCAAAAGGGAAGGGATGAAAAACAAGCACTGCTTTTCAAGTTTGTGTTTCTAGAGTTATCTGGCATATTTTAAAATTAACATTCCCATTATGAACTGAATTGTGTCCCTCTCCCCTCAAATTCATGTGTTAAAGCTCTATTAGATTCAATATATGAATAAAACGTGGTCAGAATATGACTGTATTTGGAGATGGGGCCTTTAAAGAGTTAACTAAATTACTGTAGATGGTAGGACTTGCTTCCCCATCTGTGCTGATGCCATTCTGCCCCCTTACACATCCAGGAGCAACAAGAAAGCAAAGGCTGCTGGACTTATCAGCATGGACACCTGTCCAACCTGAAGTGGGAGAAGAGGGACTGCTCTGGCCTTCAGAGACACTCAGTTCCTGTAGTCCAGAGACAGAAGGAGCAACAGGGAAGCAAGGGCTACCAGTCTTAGTGCATCAGTAGGCAACCTCATCCAGCCTGCAGTGTAGGAGAGGGAGTTGCGCTGCCAGGGTGCTGCATGAATAGGACTACAATCTTATATCCTACCTGTCCAGCTCAACCTCTAGCCACTCTGGGAGCAAAAAGTTTTCGGTACACAATAACCAAACACCTGAAGACAGTGAAACTTGGAAGTAATTCTCTCTCCACTACTCCCACCCCACTGTAGCAAAAGGAGAGAAACTCCTCTGTGAAAACCTAAAACCAAAAATACCACTGTGAATTCTACATTCCTACCCATAGTAGAGAAGGGACACTAATACAGAGATAACTAATACCACGGGGAAGTGCACAAGCACACAGTTACAGAAACATACTCCAAAGAAGTAGAAAGTGAATTTACCATCAGATGACAAAATCAAACCAGGGCTCCAAAAAATAGGAGAAAACCAGAAAATACTTTCTCTACAAAGGAATATAATAATGCCTCACCAACAATGGATTAAAACACAAGAGATCATAGAATGTTGGAAAAAAAATTCAGAATATTTATTATAACGAAACTCAGCAAGATGCAAGAGAAAACAGACAACTAGTTTCAGGAGATGAGAAAATCCTGCCTTGACTTGCAGGAGGAGCTCTATAAAGAGATAGGCACCCCGAAAAACAATGAGACAAAACTTTCGTAGATAAAGAATACAATATAGGAAATCTAAACTTCTTGTCAAAGTATCAATAGCAGATTTGACCACACAGAAGAAAGAATCTCTGACCTTGAAGACAAAACCTTTTAGTCCAAACAACTCAAAAGAACAGAGGAGTAACCATTAAAAATCAAGACAACATAAGGGAAATCCTAGACACCATTAAATGGTCAAATATCTGCATAATAGGTATTCCAGAAGACTAAGAGCCAGGTAAGAGCATAGAAAATCTCTTTAATGATATATTAGCTGAAAACTATATTAGCTGAAAACTATCCCAATTTAAAGAGGCATACAGACATCCAAATCTAGGAATTATAAAGGACACAAAATAGATACAAGATAAGATTTTCTTCAAGGCATATCATAGCCAAATTGGTAAAAATAAAAACAAAGACAATACTCTAAAACTGGCAAGAGAGAAACACAGTTATACACAAAGGTTATCCCATTAGACTAACATCAGACCTCTCAACTGAAATAACGCAGCAAGAGAAGAATGGGAAAACACAGTTAAAACTCTGGAAGAAAAACAGTTTCAGTCAAGAGTATTATATATGGCAAGATTATCCTTCAAGTGGGAAGGAGAAACATAATCATTCCCAGATACAAACTGTTGAAAGAATTCACCCAAACTGAACTAGCTCTTAAGGAAATACTTCAGGGAATACTACACCAGTAAAACTAAAGGGAGATAAAGAGAAGTAAGAGAAGACAAAACGATTAGAAAATATAAGAAAAAAGAATAGCAAAAGGACAGGGTTAAGTCCACACATTTCGAGAACAACATTGAATGTCAGGATTAAATTCCCTAACTAAAAGGCTAAAAATTCAGATTCAACTATTTTACGCACAAGCATGTTTAAGTACAAATTCACAAATTATTTGATAAACAGTTGTCACCATAGGTTTCATACTGCATTTGTATATTTATTATTATAACATTGCAAGTTGTATAAAACTAGATTACAGAGGAAAGATCCAAAAATGCCACAAGTAGCTGAGTGTTTTTTGGGAATTAGTTTAAAGAAGGCTAAAGTCAAGGATTTCGTAAAGCCTGCAAATCACCACATCACTGACTTTACTGTGTGTTCTCTTTTAGATGTCTCTTTCCACTGACTTTACCAAATGTTCTCTTTTAAACATCTCTTTCCAATTTTGTTCCTTAATGAGTTATTGTTATGTCCAATTTTACCTATCTCTAACTGGATCAGTGATTGGTACCAACTATCTTTTCAGATTCTAAACTCTTATCTCCCACAATCTTTCACATGGAAATGATAAATTCTTCTTTCATTGGCTATGTTATCTTTGTTTTCAAAAATCCATCCTCATTCATTTATAAGACTTTTTTGGTTTGATTTTGAATCACTTTGTTTTACTTCAGAACTATAGTTCATAGTAAAGAACATCACTGACAATGGAATATATACTTCCAAAGTAAGCAGTAGAAGGAATTTCTATGTTCACAACATAATGCAATGTTAAATAACAGAGATGAAGAATATGTTTATATCTTCAATTTGTTTATTACACATTGTACACATACTTGTTTTTTTTTTAATGTTTTTTTTTTTTTTTTTTTTTTGCTA